CTATTTGCCTCAGTAGTGCCTCTTACCGTAAACCCCGACATGCGCACCTTCCTTCCTTCCAACTGAATTCCTTCTAGGCTAGTTTTTGTTTTGTTTCTCCCCGCTAGAGCCTCGATTTCGTCTGCCACCTCTACATACCACCACCAATACTACTACCACCACCTGACCGCCAGAGGACGTTTGTGTTAGCCATGACGAGCCAGCTTGGAACCCATTTTCCAATAACAGCGCCAGAGAGCGTTAGTTTACCAAGATGAGCCAGCATGGAACCCAATTAAACTTACACCACTAGAGTGCATTTTTTGTTAACCAAGAAGGGTTGATGTGAAATCCGTGCCTTGATAACACCAATGAAGGGCGTTTTAATTAGCCGTGACCAGCTACTAGAGACGGCGATGAGACATCTATCGATGTTTTAGTAATTTACATTCTACAGGACTAGTCTACCCTGTCTTTATCTAAAAAATATTAAATCCTCGCCTTAGTGCCTAGAAACGTTACATCAGCTATCCTATCTAGCCAACTAAAATGTGTAACGACAAACGAGGAAAACAAACAACCCATTACCTCGCCTACCCACTCCGTGGGCAGGGCCACATTCATATGGCTTACTACAACTGCGACATAAAATCTTAACATCTTTACATAAAACATACACTTGTAAAAAAAAACAACACTTGTACAAAAAAAATCGGTATCTCCAAGGCCACAGTCATTATTTTCAGCAACAGTTGGATTTGGAATGCGAGATACGGGCCCGGTGATTCCATGCGTGTCTGACACGGCCTATCTTGGCTGGAATCAAGTCAAAATGATGTGGTCGACGAGCAGTATTTTTCCATAACACACAATTACGCCATTAAAGTACACGTAGGGCACATCCAAAGTACAAGGGTGATTCACAGGGACGAAAAGAAATGAAATTTCTTTACATATTTCTTATTTGTCCATTTATTATTTCCTGTAAGCAATTTGTGTATTTCCAAATGCCCAATTCATCAAATCAAATGTGAAGTAATAAAAGTGCCCCAAACAAATAGTTTCGAATTTAGAGGAAATTTAATCGTCTCTGTCCTAACCCATTCCGGTTTTGCTTCTTATTGGTGGGAGAAGGGAAATCTTATAAAGGTCAATATTAATAAAATGGCAGATAGGTTTGTTAAATTCCCAAGTTTTATAATTAAGCTGCAGTGCATGGCTGGGGGCAGTGTGTAAGAGTATCTCCCAAGTAAAAATAAATAATAAATAAATCAATCAATAAAATGTAATTAATTAAATACTGTTAGAGTGTTTGAAAATAAATATATTTAGAGGGAGCGATGTATTACATTGCTGTAATGTTCAGAAAGACATATTTCTAAGGTCTAAATATTGGGTGTGTTGTCACGTGTTTTGACGCAGGTTCTCCACACAGCGTCGCCAGCATCGCAGGAGGAGCCAACAAAACGCACACATGCAAGCAACGCATAAAGAAACAAGACACAATAAAAACAACAACAATCACAATTTGGTTTAACACGAATGGGCGAAGGAACAAGAAAAAAACATGCAGTTAATTCAAAGAAGATTGGCACATCTTTGACATAGTTGCACTTTAATCTGCAAAATCACCATTAAGATGAACGATCTCCAAAGAGCAGAATCAAGCTCTAGATCGGTGACTGACCCCTCCCCCCTTACTAAACTACTGATTAAGTAGCGCAACGGAAATTTTGATCTAACTTGATTCTATTCTTCCTCCAGTTTCAGTACAAAAGGACGAACGTATTCAGAATCCTATGTTCATAAACAAGGATTGCCAATATTCTCCGCCTTCACTCAATATAACACAATTAAGATTAGTACGAGAAATCATGCACCCGTCACCTTAATACATTTCAATGTGGTTCGGGAACACTGACCGCCAACGGTGACTTCTAGCAGAACTGTGCAGAACTCCCAAGTGAATTTCAGAATAAATTATAAAAAACGGTCCAAATCGGACCACAATTGGCGCATATATCCCGTTAACCCGCTTACTTAAGGAGTAATATGACACCGTTTGAATTTGTTCTTGTTTCTTCAAAATACTCAACAAGGACGTTAACTTTTTTTTACAAATTCATTTTTGGATTTTTTTATTCCACAAAAGGTACAGAAGAGATACCAAAAGTATTAAACCTAAAGGCTTTCATTCAAAAGAATATAATTTTTTAATGGTAAATGCACTACTGGAGCCGTATACATGGATTTTGATGTGGCAAAAAAAAAAAAATAATAATAATAATAAAATCAAATACTTGGCAAAAGTGTCACACATTCTTAGACATTTGGACAATGGTCAACGAAGTCCAGAACTCCACAGGCGGTCAGTGCTCACGACCACAGCATAAAGAAAAATTCATCACACATTTTTGTAATTAAGACATAGGAAAATATATCAAGTGACAATTGCAAAAGTACAGATGTCACGCGAGATATGAAGATTTAAAAGTATTACTTGCAGAACAGACACGCAAAAATGAAGATTACAATGCTTAAATATACTGCCGACTATAAATATACTGTTCGACAATTTGTAACATAAACACTGCACAATAAGGCGTGGCGAAATTCAGTGTTTCCTGGTAAAGACGACAAATATGAAGGGACGTTATTTTTATGAAGAGAATTCTTTTCAACGGATCTATAGATCGGTTTTGCACAATGAAGGTACAACTTATCACAACTCAATTTGCTGTCAGTTTCTTGTAAGTCATTGTTTAGGTGACGGAAAAGTGGTTCCTTTGTTTTAAAGTCTGGACTTCTTTATTTCAGAATAAACCTAAAATGTTGACAATAACAAAGCAATAATTTGGCTTTTGCTTTTGATTTATAATTATGCAGCAACGATGTAACCAGCTACTTGTGTCCTATGTGGTTGGGTCACCTACCCAAGGACAATCCGTTTTTGTCTTAGATAAATTACTGGAAGAATGTTGCACTTAAAGATATAAGTGTTCATATTTATGCCAATTCCTGTCCATACCTTCCAGCTCGATTAAATAATTTGACAGATATATTTTTGAACATTCTGAAACAATTATTAATTTCGTAGATGTGACATTTTTAACCAAAGTGTATGTAGAAGGAAAAAGTTTGTTTGTCCAAGTCTTAATACAAGTTTTGCCCACAGCAATAACTGATACACGATAACACGATAACAAATGTGCGCGAATTTTGTGGAAACAAATACAATACCATTTACAAACTTTCAAGGAGAAACATGAATAGCAGATAAGAAAAACACCGGTAAACACTAATTTACGAGTAACGCTACATCACTTTTTGACACCTTAAAGCCCCTAATTACATTCGAGGTTTTCTTTTAGTCAGAAGTCATTTTCTAAAGGAAAACCGCAAATTTGCTTGCGGCCAGACTTGTATTTGCATAACAGCGAGCCTCAGCGATGACATCTTCAGATTGTCTGGATAGTACAGGGCGTCAAAAAAATTTTTAATCTTTGCAAAATATTTTGTGCAAAAATGCCTGTGTGTCTGTTCGTGTGTTAACATGTTAGCGTTGGTGTAGGCCAATGCGCGTGCGGACGAGTACATGGAAGACCCGATTGCATGTATGTAACCTAGCTTATTCATTGTGTCTAATGGTAGGTTTATGATAAAGTCCAACTGAAGTGCTACCTTTCATTTTATTGAAATAGCAGTGGTAACTTTTTTGTCCCCCCCTGTATCGTCGTTGTGCCAAGGAAGCGAGAAGTTAACCACGCCTATTCTAATGTAATGATGGTTTACGCAGATAGTACCGCGTGGCCAGGGTACCCACCCAAACTTTGTCACCACGCAGCTCTGGTAGGAGTCCTGCAGGTCGCTGGACAAATAGGCATCGTCCACCTTGAAAAAAAAACAAGATGTCAATAAACAACAACGTGTGTTAGCAGCAGTAACAACACTGGTTCAGGTTATACGTTGTGCACCTCTGTTCACAATACACTTGAAGACTCTTAAAATGGTTTTGCATTCTGTATTAAAATTATGCAGTGAGATGATTTTTTTGTTCCTTTGTTTTGTCAGTAAATACAATATATAACTGTATGTAGTCTTATTAGGTACGTTTCTGTGACCTCGTTTGTCAACAGCAATATATTTGTTTCATTCTGGAATAAAGTTGTCGAAAATTTCATACTATTTTTTTTTTCTGACAGCAGAAAAAATTAGCAAAGCGTCATTGTTCCCGTTTGTTTCTATGGGCAATGGCATCGGTCTATACTAACAGCACTATAATAACCTAATTCCACCCTTTAAAGTTCAGAAATCATATTAAATTACCAGGTGATCAAAATCCACCAGATTATTTTCTGAAATTTTTGCGTTCACACTCCTCCTCGTCTAATCTTTAATTTATACATTAAAACTTAGGTGGAGCAACAGAAGCTGAAGAGTAGCTATAATATATGCACTTTTAATTTCGTCTTCCAAATAATGTGTCTACAAGACTGGGTGGGACGCAGGTATGAGAAGGTTTAAAATGTCTTTGGGCGGACGGAGCATTTACCGCAAGTAATAAGATATGAAGAATGGATTCTTTATGTCACTCACTCATTTTTAGTTTTCGTTTCGTAATTCCAGCGCCGACCTTATCGTGAAATCACCACATTTAGCTTTCTTTCTAATTACAGTATCACATTTTAAATTTTCTTCTATTCACCGTTAATTTCAAAACGCATTCATTGCCAACAGTATAGTTTTAAAAACCGGTACGGAACTTAAATAATTATTAGATTGAGCAACTTTCAATGGATACTCGATGGTCAAAATATTGTTTGCACTCATATTTGCACTCAGTAAGGTGAGAAAAAGGGACAGCGTAAAGGTGGCTTTTGGCATCATTACACAAACATATTACAAACAGGTTCAGTGTGTAATGTTTGGTTTTTCTTCTCTCTCTCTCTCTCTCTCTTTCTCTCTCTCTCTCTCTGCCCATCTTAAAAATATATATATATAAATAACCACATTAATTTCCCTGATAAGATAGCACAGATTCAAGTCTATAACAGCTCCAAATAAATAAAAGTGTTGACAAAAACCTCGGAATATTGTCACTTACCGTAGAACAGAACTCTCGAGACCTCTCCTTGTACTGTATGGTATCCTTATTTTCCAGCTCCGGCGTATACTGGATATTGACTATCCGGACAGATCCGTTAAAGCCTATGACTACAAAAGAAACAACGCAAAGTTTTTAAAACTATTCATATAAACATCACAATTTAATATAAAAACCTATAAATTATTTAAATTAATTTCAAATATTTTTCTTTTTCTGTTTAACTCAATTTCTTTTTTTTTATCAACATCAAATAAATGTAGCCTACTTGAAAAAAATACAAAATGGATACAATGGACATCAATCATACACGAATGATTTACAACAATTAAATAGAGGAGATTATTGGAGCAGATTTAGAGTACAATAAACTGTTATCTTTATTCAGTATTATATACATATCAAATTAATTTGTTGACCATTGGATTACTTTAAACTGACAATGTTCTACTTACTAATTTCTGTCGTGTTCGGTAGGGCTGTTGTCGTGACGATAGGTGGCACTGTTGGCAGTGGCCTCGTTGTGGCAGTGGTTGTAGACGGTATATCGGCTGGTACTTTAGCTGTAGGTGAAAAAATTTGACATATTCGATTCTTTGCTTATTTTCACCACAAGCATTATATTCACATATATTGAAAAGGAGGAGAATACCATTCTAAATGAGTTTGGAATTGTCAAAATTGCTGATTTTAAAAATACAATCAAATTAATATTTTTGTGTAGCAAAACTAAAAATATCAATTGTTTTAATTTTTTCTATCTGCATAATATTTTAGGACCGTCTGAATAGCCCCTTACAGTAAATAGCGCCATCTATCATAAAGAACTCACCAGGTAACGTCAGCAAATACACCATAACAAGGATGGATGCTAATAAAAATAAAAATGTTCCACACAAAATTGCAGACACTAATTTCTTTTTCGAGAATCTTTTCCTTCGAAATTTAATTTCATTAGGTTCTCCTGAGCCAAAAATTCTATGTCGTCTGCGCGGTGGCGTGTTGATCTGCACATGCGCACTTCCGTCATCGTCATACGAAAAAGAAACAACTGGATGAAAAGCACCTGCTTGTAAAGATCCACCTGGGGACTGCGTAATACTGATAGGTTTGTAATAGTAGTTCCTTTCGAAGTCACCACTTTCCTTGTTTCGAATGTTTGTGCTAAGACGCGAGTCCGCATGCGCAGACACATCATCATCGACTACTTCCGGCATATCATTGTGACTGATTGACGTCACATTAAACGGGATTGACGTCATGTTATCAGTGACATCAGCATGTATCCAAGGAGATTGGGAATTGTTTCTATTCAGTGATGCTGAATGTGGGTAAGGAATAAAGACATCCTCGCTAACACTACTAGAACTTTCACTTTTGTGATCTGCTGATTGCGACACTTCTTGTGACCGGGGTTTGGAGGCTTTCGGAAAGGTGGCAGCACCGAAGTTTTCGAAAGGATCCGATAAAGACTCCAGACTAGAATCAGAATTGCTAAAATAGGACAATTTCTTTGCAATGGTCCTGCGCCGACTGTCGTCAACCCACGTGTTAGTGAAAATCTCCCGCACGTCGGGATACCGCTTTTTACCTAAATAAAAGTTCTCAGACGCTGGCTGAGGTCGGTGGGGGTTAAAAGCGGGTCCTGCGCTTACGTTCCGCCACTTAAAGGGTGGCTCGTCCTGCAAAACAGAGAATTTTCCCTCCCATGTGGTAATGCTCCCGAGACGGCGTCCGTTGGGGGCGTACTCCTCTTCTTCATCTCTCCTCCTGAACAAGTCCTTACTGGAGCGCGTGAGCTGAGGTAGACGATACTCTTGAAAGGGACCATATTGTCGAGCAAACTTCTCTCTGCTAACTGTCTCTGAGAGAAACGACGGGTAATTCTGCCTGTGTAACCTGTTTAGAGGTTTCGCGTCAGGATTTGGGAGCTGTCCTCCCGTGCTGTCTGTACTGGAGTGAGAGTCCGAGTTTGTCTCGCCCGTAGAGCCTCGCTCCCCGCGGCTCTGCGAAGCGGTGGCCTGATCTCCGGCGGACGCTACGTCTTCAGCGTCTGATTGCCGTCGCAAGCCCCTGTCACTGTGCAGGCTACGACTACGAACCAGCCCAGCGGCTTGAATGTTCTCGTGACTAGTTTTTCCTCGGGACGAAGACGAGGCTGGCGAATCATCTGCCAGCCCGCTTTCCCCTCGTGACTGTACGTCAGGCTCAAAAGCCGCGTTGTCTCGCACCACGTGCCCATTAGGTTTGTGATAAAATCCCGAACTCCGCGGTAGCGTTGCAAATATATCCCTGACGTCGGGATGGAATCCCGTTCCAGCGGAGATTGTGTTAGGCCCTGACGTATTGCCATCCCCTCCAAGATGGCGACGTCCGCCATTACGGTTACGCCTGTGCCCGACGGCTGTGTAAAATTTCTTGTTGTTGGCGCTCCGATGCGGTAGCGGCTCCCGTTCCAATAGAAAGCTGCGGCGAATGTAGAATGGATGTTCGCCCTGTAACGATAGAAGATGATGGAAACGTGAACACTACTAAATAATGGGAGCTGATCGCCAGTACTGTCTGGACGGGATTATACCTAATTAATGAAATAATGTAAAGAAAATATTGTATTTATTTTGCAGAAATTACACCAGAATTATCACACCTATGTCTAAACTACCAAAAGCACCAATCTTTAAACCGCGTATAACAATTAAAGCCGTCCTTAAACACACTTTGTAAGGCACATTGAGATTCCATAGAATGCGCACCATAAGAAAACTATCAAGAATATATCACCAAAATAATTGTTAGCGGGGCTTAATTGATACGGAAAGAATCCGACTGAATGATCGGTAATGAATATTGAATAATAGGACGTAAAATAGACGTTGCTAAGATTTGTGTAGACTTTCAGATCAGGCGTTCAGGGAGTAAATTCTATGCGGGGTAACCTTTCTGAAATGAAACTAACGGAGGTAATGAAGGGGGGGGGTTCTGCTTCCTGTTCTTATTACTGACGTGGTTAAAAGAAGTGGGGAGATTAACCCCCCTTGCTCCGTCCCCCCGACACACACACACACACACACACACACACACACACACACGGGCTCCTTTGCCTATGATTTGTTTGGTCTGTGTCTGTTGGCTGTCCTATATGTAGGTTCAGTTCACTTGTTCGCCTTTCGTTAATCTCCAATATGTAAATAGAACTTGAAGTGATCCTGCTATTCTGTTTAACGTTATCCACACTGGCAGCTCATTCTCTTCACTGTTTAGTATTACCATAATCCTTTAAGCTGACTTTAAGTTTAAGACGGGCGGAGCTGCGTCTGGGCAGCGAATCTCTTTACAAAAAACACACATCTCTTGATTCTATTTAGCTGTGACTGCCTGGCCGCGGCCCGCGTTACAGTAATCTGCTTGCTGTAATTGACAGCACGAAAATGCAGATAGGATATATGAAAACGAAATTATCCAGCAATAGTACAACACCGAGGGCATTTTCAAAGCAATATTTAGCTTGCTTCATTGCGTCCTTCTTTCTTTTTTTTTCACTCATGCCTTAAGGGTTAAGGTAAAACTTCCATTTTTCAATAAACAAACAACCCATGAACAAGATAAAATTCAGATGCTAACGCTACTGTCATGAAAGTCATGTAAACCAACACAATGTCACCAATGATGTCCAAAATGTATATTTATCGTCACCGAAATGGTCACCGAGGCTACTCTAAAAGTACATGATCAAAAGGCCAGGCAACAAGATCGTTAACACCGACTGGGACAACGCACGCGAAGTCCACCCTCGCTTCGGGCAAATACACTGACCAAAGTCACCTTGCACTGTGCCATAAATCCGGTCACTTGGCACACACTCTGGTCAAGTCAAATTGTTGTAATTTTTGCGCCGTTTCACTATCGATAATAATCGGGTTGTCGTTTAAAAGAAATGTTTTGCAATTGAATAAAAAAGCTACAACGGATTCAGGTATTTGAGAAAATGGGGGGGGGGGGACAAGGATAAAAATATATATAAATATATAACAGAAGATGATGGCAGTTTACTATTTGAGGGCGCGGGATAGGAAAATCGTTTCTTTGAGAGAGGGAGAGAGAGAGAGAGAGAGAGAGTACTCGGTAAGCAATCTGTATATTATGAAATTTTAATAATTATCAGTATTTCACTGGTTAGTCATTTAGCAATGTCTGTCGACTTCAGGTGCGTTCACATATAAAATACTCCGATTCTTCTGTGGACAGCACTTCTACAAACCAGAAACATCCGGTAACGCAACAAAAGCGAATGAGCTAGGTAAGTCAAGCAGGCCCTGTTAATGACGTATGCAGATGTATAAGAATGTGTTTAACTAAATATTAAAGAAAAACAAAAGAAAGGTCAAACCCGTATACAACAAAAGCTTTGCCCGCGCAATGTACTTCTTTTTGCTTATATGGGAATAAAATTAACTAACTAACTAACTATTCTCCACTTCTCTGCGACACATACCTATTCAAGTGCCTCTTTACAACAGTTTCCCGATACTAGCTACTTTCGTGTGACTTATCGGCACCGCGATATGAATTACTTTCTGAATTATTATTTGATATCGACCCATGGAAATTATGAATTAAAATCAAACATGTCTTTTGTCCTGAGCTAGATACAACAAAATGACTGCATCTGGTTTGACTTTCTCACTTTCATTTTAACAAGATACGTCCCAAGTATTTACTTGATTAAAAAACGAGTTTTGTTGTGGTTGGAAAATGTATCAAATTCAAAGTAACGATCAATCCTCTATATGTTTATTTTATCTAATCTGATTTAAGAACTAGATTCATTTCATTTTAATCTAACTCATAACAATAACATAAATTAAATTTATCTTGATTCTCCGTGTTCACATCTTAAAGGAATATCTTTAATAATGTCAAAATTAAGTCACAAGTTTACTGTAAATGAAATGTGTCTCTTATAGGTGAAGTGTTCATACTACAAAGAATAGAATGTTTTTTCTGAATCAAAATTGGCGTTAAATGCACAATCTTTATATTACAAAAAAAAAAGCCAGATTAGAGATAGACAGATAGAGCAGAGATTGTACCGGTGACCTGTCAATAGTTCTTTCAGTCAAAATACAGTCACTTTCACAATATCCAGTCTGTAAAAGACGAGTTACTATCTGGCGGAACTGTAAAGTCACTGTTGAACCGCTGCTCGTACTTAACGCGCGACTAAGCACGTGCCGCGCAAACACATATTACAATGTCGTTAAGATGGGTGGTGCCTCAGTTGAGGCACCGGACTGTGAACCCCAAATCTGTCTAATAACTGGTCAGTTACAATGAGATGGACACAGAGATATTGTCCGGTGTGTTATTACATCCCTAGAGTGGCCAGAACTTGCCACAAGCGGGTAACACAACTGCCAACTACAACTAGGTAGCCACTGGACAGCGGCTGCGTCCACACGAGAACTTGAAGACCGAAAGTTGGTCATAACTTTAAGACTCTGTACCCATAGATACCCTCGGTCTACGTGGATTGACCCGACCTTGCGCTGACTCTCGTTTAGTGCGATCAGCTAAACTGAATGACGCGTTTCCTCTTGTTTTACTTCCAACGTACTCTTACAATACAGCTTTTCTGTATTCTTCTTAACGTCAGGAAGAGGTCCTCTACCAGGGCCACAGATTGATTTTCACTACATATTCACAGATAATGTCACCCGTTAAATAACGTGACTTTTCTGCACTGTCGCATCTGAGAAAAGTGCACATTATAAAATCTGCGGCCCTGGAAGAGGTTATCCTTAATTAACGTTATTACATACATATTTAATATATACCCACATAATTTAGAACATTGCCTCAACGAAAAAAGGAAAAACTCACCAGCATTAGTCCAACATAGCCCTTATTTTTTCAAAATTTCTTCAGATGATCACACCTCGCTGTTAAGTTGTTTTTCTTTAACTAAATAATCTACATCAAATAAACCCTGGCAGAGGTCTTATCCCAGCATGCCCCAGAAAAATAGAAATGACATGAAAAAAGGAGAATGGGGCACAGAGAACAAACCCTCCC